GGAAGAATACTGCATCCTAATGGGTGTGATCATGAGATGACTTTGTGCAACATTCTTTGTTCACTGTTCATGCAGTTCAGTCTAGGGTGAAGTTAACTGACATTACTTATTGTAGTTGATCTTGTGTATAGCAGCTGGTATTGACTCTACCGCAATTGGTGGGATTGTTGAGGGTACAGCTGTGACTGGGCTGTATGACTGCAGTTGCTATCTCCTGTTGGGTGAGGAAAGAAGAGACAACACACACTCGAGAGAAGGAAAACAAATAAGCCAGTAAACAATAGCAGAAAAATAAAATAGTAATGAAGGAAGGAGAAGAAAAAGCAAACAAACAAACAAAAAAACTGGCAACGGCTTTCTCTCTTCTTATTGGCCTTTTGTCTTCACAGCCACTCTAGAAAGTTCAAGATTGTCTTGCTGCACCTGTCTGGCTTGCACTATTAAGCAATATTTCTTTTCTATTTCTAATCCATGTATCCATTCAGCCATTTCTCCTAATAAGAGTTAGTTCAGGACTGGCCCATGCTCACCTTGCTGTTTGGAAACAGGACCTGCTTAAGCAATTATTACTGATAGCTCCTCCCTGCTGCAGTGGGGCTCACTACTTCTGCATTAACCTCTGGGAATCTGGCTGCCTGAAGAAATCAGGATGTCATTTAAAAATAAAAAAGAAAGAAAATATACGTCAAAACAGACTAAATTTTGATCGTGATGTAGATAAATAAATTAAATATAAAAATGATGTAGAAAAAGACTTGAAGCTTTCAAAGGGTGGCTTAAGATGACAGTGTAAAGTTTTTAAATTAAATGTGAGAAAATCTGCAGTTAGAAAACAACAGGGAAATACGCAGCATCTTTCAGGCTATAAGAACTGAAGAAAAAGTTCAAGCCTCAAGCTGCAGTATTGAAGGACTCCTTTGACAAAATATTGAAAAGTGCAGGCGGCATCAAAAGAAAATAGAATGAAGACACAGTCACTATATAAGAAGAATTGGTCCACATTCAACTATGTCAGGAAATAGCATGCTATCAACAACTAGTGGTACTGAAAGAAGTCCAAGTTGCACTGACAACACTGGTGAAAGATGAGGCTCCAGGAATTAATGGAATACCAATTGAGATGTTTCAACAAACAAATGCAATGCTGAAAACTCTCACTCGTCTATGCCAAGCAATTTGAAACTTCCAATTGACCAATCAACTGGAAGAGATCCATATTGGTGTTTATTACAAAGAAACATGAACCAACAGAAAGCAGAAATGATTGAACAATATCATTAGCATCACACACAAGTACAGTTTTACTGGATAATTTAAAAACAATTGCATCAGTGAAGTGACATAAATGCCAGCTTGATTCAGAAGAGGTTATTGATTGAGGGGTTTCATTAATTGATGGCACATGAATCTTGACTGACAGTAGAGAATGCCATAAAGATGTTTGTCTTTGTTTAATGACTATCCAAAGTAATTTATAATGTGTGGTTCACTATAAATTACTGATAACTTTGGGAAGAATGGGAATTCCAGAACACTCAATTGTGCTCACATGAAACCTGTACATAGACCTTGAATCCGTTGTTAGAACAGAACAAGGGGATACTGCATAGTTTAAAATCAGGAAAGGTGTGTGTCAGTGCTGTATCCTTTCATTGAACTTATTCATCCTGTATACTGAGCAAATAATGAGAAACTGGGCTGACTATATGAAGGAGAAAGCAGTATGAGAATTGGAGAAAGACTCTAAAGATCCTTTGATATGCTGATGACACAACCTTGCTTGCTGAAAACGAAGAGGACTTGAAGCACTTACTGAAGATCAAAGACTACAGCCTTCTGAAGATAAAGAAGAGCAAAATTCTCACAAACAGACCAATACATAACATCGTGATAAACATAATAAACACTTGTTAAGCATTTAAATTTATTTGGATCCACCATCAACATTCATGGAAGCAACAGTCAAACAATTCACCTGCGTACTGCATTGTGAAAATCTGCTACAAATGATCTCTTTAAAAACAAAGATGCCACTTTGTGGTCCAAGATGTACCTGACCTTAGCCATGGTATTTTCAATTTATCGTATGTTGGCTAATGAATAAGGAAAACTGAAAAAAATAATTGATGCATTTGAATTTTGATCTTCACAACAAATATTGATTATACCATGGACTACAAATAATGAATACATCTTTCTTAGAAGTACAACCAGAATGCTCATTAAAAGTAAGGATGGTGAGACTTCATTCTCATGCATTTTAGAGATGTTATCAGAAATGCAGATGGTCTGTGAAAAAGAGGAAAACCCTCAACAAGATGAATTAACTCAGTGGCTACAATAATGGACTCAAACATAGCAACGATTGTGAGGATGGTGCCAGGATCATGTAGTGTTTTGTTCTGTTTACATAGGGTTGCTATTAGTTGGAACTGACTTGAAGGAAGCTAAGAACAACAATATATCTGTACTTGGCTTATATTAAAATGCCTGTCCATGCCCATGGCTAGTAACAACATTAAGCGTGCATGGGAAATGATTCTGTCGAATAAACAGGTGACAGTGTAATATGTGGCAAATCATTTGCAAATCAGCAATAGCGCTGCCTATGAAATAATCCACGATGGACTTCAAAAAGTTGTGCGAGGTGGATGTTGAAACAATTCATGGAAGAGCATAAACAGTAGCATTTGGACATCTGCAAACAAAGTTTGTACCGATCCTGAGAGTAAATGGCAGAATACGGAATGGAAACATCCTCAATCACTGACTTAGTTCAAAAGTCAACCATCAGCTGTAAAATTGATGCTTACAGTTTTCTGGAAATCTCAAGGAACAGAACACTATTAGAAAAAAAGGTTCAATTGTCAACAGTGTTCATTACAGTGAGATGCTCACTGACGTGTAGAAGCCTAAACTTCAGCTCGAACACAGAGGACTGCTATCCAAAGGCGTGATCTTGAATGACAATGCATGTCCACACTATTGTCATTCTGCACAAACTTCATTTGAGCTGTTAAAGCATGCTCGCTATAGTCCTGCTCTTGCTCCATCAGACTTTCATCTGTTTGGTCCCCTGAAAACAGCTCTTTGAGGGTGAAGATTCACTTCTAATGAAGAAGTGAATACATCGGTGCATTCAAGACTCATAGATGAGCCAAAAGCTTTTTAAAATAAGGGATTACGAAAGCTTGTTGACAGATGGACAACGTGTAAGAAGATTATGTTGAAAAATGATGTATTTGTCTTTTCTGAAATTGATTAATAGAAATTTTACAGCCAGAGTGCAGATAATTTTTGACTCACCCTTGTATATTATACAGTATTGCAACTTTTGGGAAATGGCATTTTCATTCAACATTGTTGCTGTTACTAAAAGTGCTGTCAACTTGATTAAGACTCATAGCACCCATAGGTAGGATTTCCAAAGAGTGGAACTTTACAGTCTAGTGCTTTTCCTACACCAGGACTCGAATTTTACAATAAATTGTAAGAAATGCCTGATACACCCATTACAGCAATCTAGCTTTGAGGAAGAGAAAGAGAACACAGGGGAACAGGAATTCCTAGGATGACTTAGAATCTGCTATCACTTCTAATGTGTGGATGGCAGCCACACATTACAATAATGTTTATAAACTATTGGAAGTCATATATGCACCCATGAAAAAGAGTCAAAGACCTCTGTCTCTTTTGATGGAGGACACAGGGACTGGTCTCTTTTGAACGCCCCATAATGTGGCACTCTAGGGACAGCATACAGCCCAATTCTGAATTTGTACACCATTTGAGACTAAAATATCTTCATCTTTTCCATTCAGCATTTGTTGTGGTATTTAAGTGCCATCGAATCAGTTCTGACCCATAGCGACCTCTGTATAAGATTTCTGAGGAGCAGCTGGTGAACTTGAACCGCCGACTTGGGAGTTCAAACCGAATTTGCAGTCCAGCGCATTAACCCACAGTGCCACACTCATTCAGCATGTTGTTATGTGCCGTGGAGTCGGTTCTGATGAGGCTGTAAATCTTTATGGGAGCAGAAAGCCTCATCTTGCTCCCGCGGAACAGCTGGTAGTTTCGAACTGCTGACCTTGAGGGTGGCAGTCCGACTCGTAACCACTACGCTACCAAAGTCATTCAGCATAGTTATCTGAAAATTTATCCAGGTTGCTGCATATATCTTCTTTTTATTGCTGAGTAGTAAATAAGTTCATGGTAAGGATGTACTAGTAGCGTAGTTGTTACGAGTCGGGCTGCCAACCTCAAGGTCAGCAGTTTGAAACTACCAGCGGTTCCACAGGAGAAAGATGAGGCGTTCTGCTCCTGTAAAGATTTACAGCCTCGGAAACCCTGTGCAGGGTCGCTATAAGTCAGAACCGACTCCATGGTACTTTACAACAACAAGGATGTACTGGAGTTGGTAACCATTTACTTACTGGGTTGTTTCTAATGCCCTTCAACAAGTAATGAGCTGCTATGGATATTCATTTATAGTTTTTTTCTGTGGACATAATTTTTAATTTCTCTAGGCAAATGCACAAGAGTTTAATTGTTATGTTGTCTGTTAAATGTATGTTTAGTTTTGTAAGATGCTGTGAAGGTACTCAGTAGTGTGGCTGCCACCATTTTACATTCCCAAAACCCATGTGTGCGAGGTCCACTTTCTCTGCAGTCTCACCAACCTGCCAGATTTTCACTCATTTTTATTTTTGCTCTTTTAATTGGTGTATAATGATACTGCATTGTGCTTTTTATGTTTTGCTTAAAAATAACATACATTATTTTACATTGTTCAAAGTCTTAATTCAGATTTTTGCTATCATCATTTTCTGGTTGGTGAGGGATTTTATGACAGTTATATTGCCAGTGATGATTTTTAAAAAAAAAATATGTTTAGGCATAACTGTTTAATATTAAAAACTTCTTTTTATCTGTTAGATTAAATAAAGTATTTTTCATTAATTAGTAACTCTACTTCTTTTTGGATAATTATATTATAGTGGCTGGGATGGCTGGTACTGCACATATCGATGGAGACCATATTGTTGTCTCAGTTCCTGAAGCTGTATTAGTTTCTGACGTTGTCACAGATGATGGCATAACTCTTGATCATGGGCTTGCAGCTGAAGTTGTCCACGGGCCTGATATCATCACAGAGACTGATGTAGTAACAGAAGGTGTGATTGTTCCTGAAGCTGTACTTGAAGCTGATGTTGCCATTGAAGAAGATTTAGAGGAAGATGATGGTGATCACATCTTGACTTCTGAGTTAATTACAGAAACTGTTAGGGTACCTGAGCAGGTTTTTGTGGCTGACCTTGTCACTGGTCCTGATGGACACTTAGAACATGTGGTCCAAGATTGTATTTCAGGAGTTGATTCTCCTACAATGGTATCAGAAGAGGTTCTTGTAACTAATTCAGATACAGAAACTGTGATTCAAGCAGCTGGTGGTGTTCCTGGTTCTACAGTTACTATAAAAACTGAAGATGATGATGATGATGATGATGATGATGATGATGATGTCAAGAGCACGTCTGAAGACTACTTAATGATATCTTGTAAGTGAAGCATAATTCCACAATTACTTGGGGTATTGCTTTTAAAAGCTAGAAAGTTTTTATGAGTTGGGGGATATATGCAATAAAAATCATACAGTGTTGTGAGTTGATAAACAGTTGTTTTCAAAATTATGCTGCTTTTAAATATTAATTTTTTTTTTAATTTACACAATGAAAATTCATACCTAAATTGAAGTAAAAATTGCCACTTAACTAATACCTTAGAAACAGAAATAAAGATTTGGAAGATATAGAGAAGAATGATAAAATGATTAAAAAATAATTTTATATTGAATATATATTTCAAAGCAAAAAGTTTCTTTTACATATACACAGCATTCTTTTTAGTATGGCAGGCACTAATTGGAGTTGTTAGTTAATTCTGATTAAGAATTAAACATAATATGTTAACAGCTATATATACTCTTATTGCTTGTTTTAATAAATATTTGAAATCAAATGATAAACTCAGAATATGTTCAATAGTTTTCCTTGTGTTTATATTCTGTCTAAATATGTGTATATATAGTCTATGAAAATATATGAGTTTATGTCAGGCTGCTGGATAAAGTCCTTAAAACATTCTATCTTCAAGAGGAAGATTGAAATATTTTGTTTTCATTCTAAGTACTGGGTTTGCTTGAACAGTAACAATAATAAAATAAAATCTCATGACAAGTTTTGATGTAACTTGGGATAAATGCAAAAGTGGGTCTGTTGTAGTTGTTGTTGTTGTCAAGTGCCGTCAAATAGTTTCTGACTCATAGTGACCCTGAATAGAGTTTCTGAGGAGAGACTGGTGAGTTTAAACTGCCGACCCTGTGGTTCAAAGTGACTTTGTAGTCCAGTGCATTTACCCACAGCACCACACCAGTACTCTAGAAGTAGCTCTAGTTTCTATAACATTTGACAGGATCATGCTGCAAGTAGTAAAGATTAGATGTAGACATTTCACTTATCCGAAGATTTATTGTTTTGTTATTGTTAAGTGTCATTGAGTCAGTTCCAACCCATAGTGACCCTGTGTAGAGCTTCCGAGGAGTGACTGGTTGGTTTAAACCACTGACCTTGCAGTTCAAACTGACCTTGTGATCCAGCGCATTATTCTGCGGCACCACACCAGGACTCCTATCCAAAGAGAACTTTTTAAATTACAAAAAGGGTTCATTGGAAAGTACATGGTCTTATGGGTATCTGTGTGTGTTTAAAGTTATGTGTGTGTATCAGTGGATTTAAAACAAAAAAACAAGCTAGGTTTATTTATTAGAATAGTAATTCTGAAGTCTAACATTAAAACTTTTATCTCTTTTTAAATATTATTGCCCGTCTTTAAATAGATGTAGATTCCTAAATCAACACATTATTTCCAACTTAAGCTGACATTAAAAATAAATAAATAATGGTATCATGTAAAATGGTATAGTAAAAGTCTCTCTCAGTATTAAAATAAATGCAATATGCTTTTAAAAAATTACCCATGAAATGAAACTGTTTGGTATTAAAGTGGTCTAAAATTTAAACATCATATATAATGTGGCTCACCATACCTTAAGAATTTTCTATTATTTAATTCTGCAAAAAGATTTAAAAGAAAATATTCCTAGAGTATTTTTAGTTAGGATATTGATACTGAACTTACTAAATGGTCCAAATGCAAAGGATTTGCATTCACTTCCAATCTATTATAATTAGAATGAAAATCTATAAGAATATGGTATATTGCTCTAATAATACCAGAATTACTGTGGGGTCATTTTAGGGGGGATCAATCAGCTCTTTAATCATTAGTAAATGAACAACAAAAGCTTTAAGAAATTCCTTTAAAAATGAAGTAATTATTTCTATTGTAGAAAGTATACAAGAACAGAAAAATTATATATATTTTTATATCTCATCTTATCACCACGTAGATACTTGATCATTTTTTAAATAATGGGTACAATATTTAAGTTAGGGATCAGTTATTCTTTCTTGCCACTTTCATTAATCTATTTCATTCCATTTTGATTTATTTCTCCCCATCACTTATCTGTACTCTTCATTAGATGATTTTTATTAGCTATTGAATCCTTCAGGAGTTAGAAAACAAATTTTCATGAAAGACCTCAATGTTTATTCAAAAGGTTCTCTTCTCTGGTTTTCCCAAAAAATAGGTTTTTTACAAAATCCAAGAAATAATATTTGAAGACTTAAAGCAGAAGACATTTTTTCTTATTCTCAAAATACTTCTCTAAATATCATTGTAAAGAAACCTCTACAGTAACTGCATTTTGAAGATAGGGAATTTGTTTGAGGTACATCTGAGTTTTTTTCTATGTCTAGGCCTAGCCTCATAGTTTGTTTTTTGTTTTTTGTTTTTTACCCCAGCAGATGGTTAGATTCTTTCACTATGCTAAGTAACTAGGAAGTTAATTTATGATAATTATCTGTCTTTTTTGTGTCCTTTTAAAAATATAACCAACATATGTAAGACATTTAGGAGTCTTGGTAGCATAGTGGCTGCACATTGGGCTACTAACCACCAAGTCAGCAGGTTGAGTCCACCAGGAGAAAGATGAGGCTTTCTGCTCCTGTAAAGATTTACAGCTTTGGAAACCCTATACAGGGTTGCTATGAGTCAGAACCGACTCCATAGCAAACCATCACCACAAGACATTTATGAGTAATTATTTTCTTTATGATATTCATAAGGCTTTCAGTAAACAGAACATTGGAACTCTGAATGGTTTAAAATTAAGAAAGGTGTGCAACAGGGTTGTATTCTTTCAATTTATATGCTGAGCAAATAATCCGAGAAGCTGGGTTATATGAAGAAAAACGTGGCATCAAGATTGGAGGAAGACTCATTAACAACCTGTGATATGCAGATGATACAACCTTGCTTGCTGAAAGTGAAGAGGATTTAAAATACTTACTGATGACGATCCAAGATCACAGCCTTCGGTGTGGATTGCATCTCAAATTAAAGAATACAAAAATCCTCACCACTGGACCAATAAACAACATTCTTATCAACGGAGAAAAGATTGAAGTTGTCCAGGACTTCATTCTTCTTGGATCAACCATCAACACTCATGGAAGCAGCAGTCAAGATATCAAATGATGTCAAATCTGCTGTTCAACACCTTTGTAAAGTGTTGAAGAGCAAAGATGTCAGTTTGAGGACTAAAGTGCACCTGACCCAAACCATGATATTTTCAACAACCTCATATGCATGCAAAAGCTGGAAAGTGAATAAGGAAGACCATAGAAAACTTGATGTCTTTGAACTATGGTGTTGGAGGAGAATATTGAAAGTGCCACGGGCTGCCAAAAGAACAAACAGATCTTTGTTGGAAGAAGTGCAGCCAGAGTGCTCCTTGGAGGCCAGGATGGCCAAACTTCGTCTCTCATACTTCAGACATATTGTCAGGTGGGACCAGTTGCTGGAGAAGGATATCATGTTTGTTAAGGTGGAGGATCAGAGAAAAAGTAGAATCTTAGTAAGAATTATATTAGGGATTTGAAACTTGTTTTTAGGCACATTCACAACATATTCAATCATGCATAGTCCTAAAGAATGCTTTTCACACTAACAATAAGTTTCACCACTAGGAAAAACCAGCTAAAGTTTTTGCCAGTTCAAGTTTAAAATTACATTCAACATTCTGTGTAGTTTCGGTTAGAGACATCAAGACCTCTAGAAAATTAGCTAAAAATGCAATTTAAGGCTAAGGGAATAATAATAGATCATAAGCAGAAATCTAACTAGATGTTTTATGTAGAGAAGTTATAAGGAATTTGCTCCATTTCTTCTTAACTACAAAATTTTATGTTTCTTGTTTAGTCAATCATGAGAAACAACTGTGTTGTCAGTTACCATAGCAAATAATGTCTAGGAACATGCTGTGATTAATGAATCTATAGAAAATAATAGGTGAAGGTAGAAATAGGAGTTAAGATTTAGAATTATGTTTAAGGTTAACGTGACATAGAGCAATGAGGCTTGGTTACAGAAATCAGATATTGTCTAACTGCATAAAGGGGAACAAGAAAGATTTTGATATTCTTGATGTTCTATATTGAAATGATTAATATGTATGATTTAGACCACTACTTTGAAAAGAATGATTAATAGATTGATGGTATAGAGTAGTATAAAAGCTGTTTGAGAAAAATAAAAATAAAATGTAAAAGGAGTAAGAAGAAAAATAAAATGTGAAGGAAGTAAGAGGAGAAATAAAATGTGAGAGGAGAAGATTCACCATCTAACAAGACCCATTGATTCTGTGAGCTTCATTTCTTCATCGACATCATACCTCCCTCTAGAACCCCCAAATAAGAGTGTCAGGGCTGGCTCTCGACACCCAGTGAGATGGATTGGCAAAGTGGCAGCATCAATGGGCTCAAGCGTGGCAACAATCGTGAGGTTGGCCCAGGCCTGGGCAGTATTCTGTTGTGCATAGGCTCCCTATGAGTTGGTACCAATTCAATGGCACCTAACAACAACAATTTTATTTTTGAAAAGTTTCACTGGAAAAGCAAAGGTGCTTAAAATGAGTCTCAATATGTTGTTGTTGTTAAGTGCCATCGAGTTGGTTCCAACCCATAGTGACCCTGTATAGGGTTTCCCAGGAGCAGCTGGTGAGCTTGAACCACCAACCTTGCGGTTCAAACCAACTTTGCAGCTTTGCAGTACAGCGCATTAACCCACAGAACCACACCAGGATTCAGAGTCTCAATCTAATGGCATTTAAATGTGTATGTGTTTGTTTTTTTTATTTTTTTAATACATGAAAATTTATATTTTTAGGAAGTATCTTGTGGTAGGGTTAATTTGGGTATGTCATTCAAATCTCATTAATTTCAAGGGTAAAGAAGCAAAGGTTAACATCTTTGTATTTTTTTAATATAACAGCTTCTTTGAGATATAGTTCACACTCAAACAGTTTACACATTTAGGGTGCACAGTTCAATGATTTTTACTATAGTTACAGAGGTGTGCAACCATCACCAGCATT